TTGTTAGTTAAGAAAACACCATAACAAAACTTTTATTATAACTTCTTTATTCGGTTCAAAAGAAAACAAAAATATTGATTCATGATTAAATGTTTTTGTCAATTGATTGTGACGTGAAATGTGAATTTCAAGTTTAAACAATAATTTACAACAAAGTTGTAAATCATTATGGCTTTAACGTTTTGTATTTTCCATATGAAATATAAAAACCAAATATATTGTTGTAATACATAAAAAAATTAATCCGTTCAATTATTTAACTTTTTGGCGGATATTTTTAACCTCGTTATTATAGTAAAAAACGGCTTACATTTTTGTACAAGTCTGTCTTTAAAAGTTAACTGGTCTCTAACCTTATTTAATACCTTCTGGACCAATATAATTGAAATATTTGGGTAGCCCCAAACACAACCAGGCGTTTACCAAAATTTACACGGTGAATGCCGAATTCCAAAAATGCTTCAGTCTTATTTTATAGAATGTTTTTTTTAAAAAAATGTGTTTTTGGGAAAAAGTTAACCCCAGCTCCCTGTTTTTTAAAACAAAAACGAGGCAAAAAATTAATACCCTGGTTGTGGCCCCAAATAACCACCTCAATCATTTTTAGGTTTTTCCCACATTTACCAAATGCCCAATGTTTAGACAATAATTGAGCTATTATTTGTCAACCATAACAAAGACTGACTCTATTTCAAAAATATATACATTACATAAAATGTTTTTTAAAATAATATTATCATTGTATTATAAAATATAAAATAAATATTAAATAATATATAATTAATAATATATAATTAATATATTATTCCATATATTAATAATATATGGAATAATATATTAATATATATATTAATGGTTTGAATACTATTTTAAACTAAATTGTTTATTTTATTTAAAGTTATTTTCAAACTATAATTTCCTTAATATCCTTTTTTATTATTATTACTATTAATTTATTAATATTATATCATTAAACATAAAAAACAAATTTTAAATTTATATTAAAAAATGTATTATATATTTAATTAAATAATTAAATAAATCCCATAATTTGATTATTTCATATTTACTTTTTACAAATACTTTTTAGAAAACGTAATCAGTCTGGGAAACCGGACTACTAATCTAAAATTGGAACAATACAGAGAAGATTAGCAAAACCCCTGCGCAAGGCCGGTTACTTCTACGAGAAGTTAAGGAATTTTTTTACGAATTATTAAAATTTAGTTTTTCAAAGATGTCATATATTTTTAAAAATTTTATTACATCTGTAATAAAAAAATGTAAAACAACATTAAACAAAAACCAAATTAGTATTGGTTTTATTTCACTTGGACGTCACCATAAACAAATCATTTTTATAAAAGAAATAACCTTCATCAATAAAAATTAACAATGACAAATTTTATATATGAAATGTTATAAAGTTAATTATTTACAATACGATTTCAAAAACAACACAATTTATCAATAATTAATCAATTAGATATCACGAACAATATATAATATACGTTACAACAAATTTGACAATAGTTGTTGTTTACCAGTGTGTTGATTTATTCTTATTTGTAAATTTTATTTAATTATTTAACTGTTTAAATAACATATATTTTATGTTTTAATAAAAATAAACGAACATGTAATTAACACAATCAACAAAACAATTTTGCACTTCACACGTTTTCTAAATTATATACTAAAAATCTATCAACCAACAGACCATTTTCAGTCTCTTCCTTTGTCTTTTCAAAGCTTTTCCCGAACAATCCGTTATCTTTTCCATAATCAAATGACTTCATTTTATACTTACAAACCAGCTTCGAGTCTGTGGTTCTCAAGAAGACTATTAAATCTCCATTTCCAACTTGAAAGTATTTTGCTCTTGATGCCTTCCCGAGCCAAAACGCCTGATCTTTACACTCTTTTTTGATTAGATATTTTCTTCGTCTTTTGATACCATTTTCTTTCAACACAAAAATGAAGCAATTTTCATCCGTTGTAAATAGTAAATCGTTCTTCACTCTTCCCGTCACAACAACTCCAAAGACGTTCTCCTCTGCTATTATGACTATCACAAACCCTCTCGCCTGCACTATTTTTCGAGTAAATATAGCACTGCAAAACACTGTCGGCAACTCAACACTGTCATATACAAGATTACCCACACTTCTCCCACTCCACGCAAAAAGTTGTGCTTTCTCTTCAAACCCTATTATTTCCGCATCACTAATATCATTCCGTCGCTCACTTAAAACTTCTGGAAGTCTCTCATTCGTCTCATTTCCTTCGTCGTTTTCACTCGTTTTCGTTTGAACCGTTTCGTGCTCGTCAGAAACAGAAAATGTCCGTCTGTCTGTACCAAACCCTAAATTTGGTATTTCGAGTTTTTTGTATTTTTCAGCTAACCGCCGAGCCGCCTCTTCTGTTGCACTTGTTGCGGGAAGTTGTCCATTTGATGTCCTTCGCTTTTTCACAATTTTTTTTGATTTTGTGTTTTTTGTTTCATCGCTTTGCAAGGCGGTTGGCTTTGAAGGTTCTGTGGAAGTTCTTTTCAATAATTTCTGACGTGCATTTTTCTTTTTGATGTACGTGGAGTACTTTTCCGAATCGGAATCGGACGAGTTTGTGGCGATGTTTGCGACTTTGTTTAACAACGAAATTTTGTCATCACTTTCTGAAGCACTTTCTTCTTCGTTTTCTGGAATTATTGAAACACTCTTTTCTCGTCGGGAAGTTGTTAATTTTGAACGAATTGGTTTGAAGGGTTTAATAGTATAATTATTAGTTTTATTATTATTAATATTGGTATTAGCTTTTTCATCAATTTCATCAATGGAACTCACCAAGGACTCTACCAGTAATTCATCGTCTTGGAGTACTTGAATTTTATTTCCTTCATATTTTAGATCTTCGAGTTTTTCAAGATTTTGTGGTGTATTAGTCTTGACGTGTTTACTTAGTTCCTTACTTTGAAATTCAAAATTATCAAATTTCACATTTTGTGAGTCGGAATTTTCATTTTTTCCAATTTCAGAGTCAAACAATTTTTCTTCTTCATTGAATGGATTTGCGATGGTTTGTATGTAATCTTCTGAAAATGCCGACTGTTGTTGCAAAAAGGAATTTTCAAGCTTTTCATTAATCGAATTCTCACGCTTTTTGTACTCCAATGTGATTTGTGCTTTTCTAAATGCGTTTTTCTCGAGCTCTTGGTCGTACCGAATTTTTTCTTTTTCTTTGAGAAGTGTCAGCAACGTGTTTTTGAACTCCACAATTGCCGCTGTATCTTTGGTGCACTGCTTTTTTATTTTGGTGACTAACTTGAGAGAATCCATTAACACGGCTATTGTCGTGTCAATCGTTTGAGAAAAGAGTAAACAATTGCTTTCACTTGTTTTCATCTCTTCAACACTTTGAGTTAAAAAGGTAATTGCGTCGTCAAGAGAGAAGTCATGAAAATCGAGAGGTAGGGTTTGGAGGGGGGTGGAAATGTGCTTTTCCAGTGCAGACTTTAAAATTGCAAACGTGGAGTTGATGTCAGGGATGTCTTGTCGAAAAACGTCGTAAGGGTCAATCATTTCCATAATAAATTTAATTTTAAAGTTAATTAATATAAATTCTTTGATGATAAATTAAAAAATTATGTTGTTCATTCCAATATTTTAAATTTTGAATGTTTTTTATATTTATTGGAGTTTTTATTTATTTTTTTGATATAAATATATTTGAAATAGATGAGAATAGTCACAATTTATGTATATAGATATTATCCATAACTCCAATAAACGTGTTGAATTTATTTGAAATTGTTTTTACATTATAAACACTCAAATAAAAACAGTAAAACCTTTTTATTGCAAATAAAAAATACTTTGTGTTGTATATTTTAAAGGTTCAAAATTATGTTGATTATGAAAATTATTATTATAAACAACAGTGCCATTGTATTTATTTGAGGTTTTCAAAATCACAATGCTAATTCCCTACATCACCATTAAATAACCAAAATGTTCATTTTCTCTTATAAATTCGTACGTTACAATACCACATTTTTGGCAATAATTATTTTGGAAACGCCTGGTATTATTGCATTTCTAGACTTTATGATTTTTCAATAATATATTATAATGATTTGTTATTATATTAATTCAGTGATATTGTTGATAAAACGTATAACATAAAAATAGCCATTGTCACAAGCAGATTGTTACATTTCTTGGTTGTGTAATATAGTTATAACCTAATTTAAAATTAATGTTGTTTTATTATAGCCATTCGGCTACTTTTGAATCTTTTTGAAAATAATTACAAAGGAAATGACGAACAGGGTGACAAAGTTTAATATAATAAATTGAAAAACGTTTTTTATCATTTAGGGACATCCTCCCGCTATTAATAACGCCCTCACTATTTATGAAGATGCCTTAATTAACACTAAATTAACTATTGATTTTGTGTTTATCTTGTTTTTAAAATTTAATAACGAGTTATAATTTTACTCTAAAATTACCATTAAAAAATAATATTATTTTCCAATTTATATTTTATCAAGAACAAACACTAATCATTGCTTAAAACGACATGAAATTGTGTCATAAATTAATGGTTTTAAAAAAATAATTCATTTTCGTCATTTTACATTTTGATTGCTTTAAAACATCCTCTTACATTGTGAGGGCGTTTTCAAAAACTGGAATAAAGGGGTGGAAAAAAACCGCTTCAGGAAAAAAACCGCTTTTGATAATTTTTGGTGAATAATAATAAAATGTTTTCTAAATGTTATTTAATTTTATTTTTTTTATTTATAGGGGTGTGATAAACTGGTTGTAAATGATCAATCCCTTGTCGATTTTGGTAGAACTTCCAGAACAAAAACAAGTCAATTTTAACTTTTTACAATCTTTTCCTTGTGTATAAAGAAAAAGGATAACCCTATTATGCACTTTTGGGAATGAGATAATAATGTAAGTTTTTGACGTATTTTTTTAGAAATTCTATTTAAAATAAATTATTTTTAAGTTTGTTTTATAAATATAAATAGAAAACAACAAAAATTGAACTGACATTCATTTAAAATATTAGATCCGTCATTATGTTCTAAAATAGGTTTAAATTTGCTTCTCATCATCCTCTTCTCATCCTCTTCTCATCGTCGTTATAATCAGTTTTATTATTTATTATTTTTAATAGGTTGTTTAAACCCTTTCAAAATATTAATAAGAAACATTAATATTAATATTAAAATTTTATTTATTTTTTATTTTTCCATCAAATTATATTTTATACATATTATTTTTTAAAGGTCTTTTAAGTCATTTCATATATCTAAAAATGAAACTGTTTTCGTACTTTATATTATTCGTTATTATAATTTAATAAATATTAACTATTTGATATAAAAATAACAAATAGTTGAAAACAAACGAGTTTTTTGTGAAAGAACAATTATTGATTTATTATTTAGAGCGATTAATAAAAATATTATTCAAATGGTTTTTTAATTTAAATTTCCAAATTGTTTTGTTATGCTAAAAATAAATTGGTGATTTAACTTTGTCGTAACGATGCAAACAATAAAAAACACACAAAAAGATTCATAAATATAATAAATATAATTATTAATTTACTAAATTTAAGTGTAAAAATAAAATCACAAAACAAAACAATAAATAAACTTATTATATTAATATTTTTATTCATTATTTTATACAAAACTTAATAATTCAAAACACGAAATATCTCAAACAAATTATCAACAACAACCAAAAAGCGAAAAAAAATAAAACCCATAACATCACTCTCGCACTTTTTTATTTTATATTTTTAACTTTTTAATAATATAAATATTATAAAAGTATAATAACCAACAAACAACACCAAAAAATCACTTATTTTTTCTTTTTAGCAAGTCTGTCCTCCTTTTCTTTTTGTGTCTCCAGCATCAAGCGCTTAACTCCCTTTGGAGCAACAAGCACAGGCATGTCTTCTCCATATAAAAAAAGTCTCATGCATCTCGAATAGGCCACATCTACCTTGCATATCTTATAAGCCTTTTCTGAGTCTGGCACATTCTCTTCTTTCTGTTGGTCCAATACTGTCTGGAGAGCTATTCCAGATTGTTTGAAAGCACTAACTATCGTTTCAAGTCTATCCTTTGATTTCCAAGAATCATAAATAGACATGATTCTTCTTTCGACAGTGGCTTCTGCAAACTCTACTTTGACTTTGAGAAGATCGTCGAATAACTGATTTGTGTGTTTCCCGTTCTCACACATATACCGTTCGAACTCCATTTTCAAGAGTTCATTCTTCGCGAGGTGCCCTTGACAGCAGCAAATATAGACAAGTCCAGTGGTTGGCACAAGTGGGATGTATGTGGTTTGAGAAAGAGCACATCAATCCCACTCTTCTTTAAGGTGTCCAGCGCTGCATTGTGGGACTTGAATCCGTCCATAATAAGCACCGCTTTGGCTTTGGTTCCAAGTGCTTTCTGGGACGCCTTGACGTCAGGGACAAGGACCCTCTCCACCCAAAAACAAAACAATTGAGAATTCATGAAACCGTTGTCTTGGGTACGAATATGGGCATGTGAGTGGAGGGAGGCAAAGACGTCCTGGTTGAGTGTCACTCGACTTGTGATAATCAACGGATCAAGTTGATGACCATCTGCCCGGATACACCCAAGAAGGGTGATTCTGTCACCACGCCCAGGAATTGGAGTGTATACAGCTTCACCGATAACATGTGAGAAAACCACCGACTTCGACACCGCATCAACAAACAAATCAAAACCAACTTCGTCCAAGTTATAGACAAGAGCAGTTGGTTTGTCTTCAACGGCCTTTTTCAATTCAACCAAGTACTCCATAATTATTTCTTTGGTAACAACTGCTCTGGACTCCTCCATTAATTCACCTTTCTTGACACCGAGTTTGTCCATTTTTCTTATCGAATCGTAAATTTGCTTCGTTGTCACCACCTTTTCTCCCTCTTTCAAAAGCGTCAAGTTTACAAAATCTTTCACTTCACGAGGTTTCACTGGCTTTTTTGCATTTTGAAAAGTTTCAACGAATTTTTTAATTTCATCAATTTTTTCATTATTCAAAACTCGCGGTCGACCAACTTCCCCTCCTCCTTTGTTTTTTTCAACCTTTCTTATTTGTTCTTCTACACTTCTGGCTCCTCCAAAGAACACTTTAATATCCGTTTTCCATCCACGACGCCAATTAACATCTCCTATTTGTTTCATAACGAGCTTTATTTGCTCAAAGTGTGTTTTACACTCATTAACTTCTTTTTCACAACTTTTAAAGTGTTCTAGATACTCAGGGAAAAATTTCAATCTTTCACACAAAAGGAGTGGTTGCAGGGGATGGAAGGAATGTTATCAATCGTCTTTTTCTTTGTTACATATTGTTGAAAATTGGGCTTTTTACTCATCTGAATTGTTGTTTATTTTATAGATATTTATTCTGTTGATATCAACACTGTTTATGGCACAAATATTTTTTAAAAAAATTAATTACTTTATTATGATTGTCTGAATTTATTATTTTTTTTATTAAATAATTATTTTAATTTAAAATGAAGACAAATTTTAAATAAATAGTAAATTTTTTATTATTTGTTTTAATAATTTGGTTATTGTAAAAAACGTTTTTGAATACTTTCTGTGTTAAATAACGTTTAAGAACGTAACATTGAATATACTCATAATCGAAACAATCAAAAATACAAGAGCTTGATTCATGTATAAAAGTGTTTCTGGCATCTTTTTGTGCTTTAAATGTCGGATTTTTGATAATAATAATTAAATGATGTTCATATTA